TCAAAACCAGGACCCCGTTGTGACTTCCATTTCTTCCTCTTCCTTGGGAGCTCAGTCAGGCCAAAGTGGACGGAGCGTGATTCTTAGATACGACCCAGCGGCGTTATGGGTCCACGCCAGGCCCCTGGTGGTTGGTTAATGATCCTGTGAGGTTTTCAAAGTGGGGACATAGAAGTGTACCGAGCTCCTGGGGAACCACTAGTCAACACAAAAGCAGGGGCCTTGGCTGCATGCAGCCCTTCTCTGCAAACCAGAGCAGAGGTACCCGCTGGAGAACAGCTGGACTCCCTCTGAGATCAGCTGGGGGGGGGGCGCACCCGTCTTCTCCTCTCCTTTTCCAGAAGGGAGACGGGGCTCCAGAGAACAAGCCCTGGCCGGCCTTCACCCCAGACTGACCGCCTCTCCGTTTCCTCCTTCTCCCTCCAGACTATGCAGAATTCATTTTCTTAGGACTCTTTATGTCCGAAATGTTTATAAAAATGTACGGGCTTGGCACGCGGCCTTACTTCCACTCCTCCTTCAACTGCTTCGACTGCGGGGTAAGTGCTGGGCTTCTGTGGGGCCCCTGCGTGCGCTCTTGTCTATAATGACCAGACCTGGAGACCTTGGTCAGCGGGCAGAGGGAGGGTCACCTCTGCGTGTGAAAGACTGAGATGGACGCAGAAGCAATCACACGAGCCCAGAATTCCCAGCCTCGGTCACCAGGGGGAATTTATAGACCGCCTTTGGAAAACAGATGGGTGACCCAGCGAGTCCTCCATGAAGGAGTCACCTTAGAGGAACTGACACAGGTGCCTGGGGGACACCAACAAGAAAGCCCCTGCATCTGGGAACAAAATTAGGGTCTTTCAACCTGATCAGCTCTCTGCCACTGTATCAAAATGCCTCAGGCAGTTCACTTATGAAGAGCAAAGGTTTACGGTGGCCCACAGCTTCGGAGGCTCCAGTCCATGATCAGTTGACTCTGTGGCTTTGGGGCCTGGGGAGGCAGCTCATGGTGCCGGGAGCACGTGGTGGAGCAAGGCTGAGGGGCAGGGGAGGGGTGAGGCAGGCCCCCAGTGACCTAAAGACTTTCATTAGGCCCCGCCTCTTAAAGGTCCCACCACCTCCCAGTGGCACCATCAGGCCTTGAACGGAAGGGCCTTTGGAGGACCTTTAAGATCCCGACTGTAGCAGCGTTAGTGTCAAATAGTGGGTGTGCCTTCCCCAGAACGCTCCAAATCCTGACCCAGTTCCAGTATTCTCAAGCAGCCTTAATAATTCTTAATAATTCTGAATCCAGTACGGATTTCTGCCCTATTATAGGAAACTGTGGTGTTGGAGGAAAAAAACAAAATATATACAAACAAAACTACCACATAAATGACCCAAATGTTTTAGGAATAAAACAAATTTCTTTCTGTTAAAAAGAGAGAGAGAGAGAGAGAGAGAGAGAGAGAGAGTCTCGGGTTGAAGGTGTCTTAGGGGTAAAACACTTCTCCAGCGAGTGTGAGGACTTGAAAGGAAACAAAGAATGTCCAAATAGCTCTGTTCGTGACAAGCCTGGCCCCAAGTGTCCCTCTGCAGTTGAGTGGAGAAGTTAAACGGTCACATCACTCACAGACGGTCCCTGACTTATGGTGGGTGTGATGGCAATGATTCAACTTATGATGGTTCGATTTATGATTTTCAACCTCACGACGACGCAAAAGTGACACTCAGTAGAAACCACACTTCAGATTTTGGTCTATTCCCCAGCTGGTGATAGTCAGGCCAGTGTGCTCTCACAAGGGTGGACGGCAGCAGCAACTGTGGCTCCCAGGCAGCCCCATGATTACAAGAGGAAGCAACAGATACCCTACAGCTGCTGTGTTGCTAAGCTAGGGGTTCAAGAGGCGAGGCGTATTAAATTTCAGCTGGGCACAGTCGTGCATACCTGTAATCCCAGCGATTTGGGAGGCTGAGGCAGGAGGATTGCAAGTTCAAGGCCAGTCTCAGCAACTAACAAAGTCCTACTCAAAATAAAAATATAAAAGGGCTGGGGATGTGGCTTGTGACTAAATGCCCCAGCTTAATCCTGGTATTAAAAAAAAAAAGGTGTTTTCTATGGCCCCAAGGAGCTACATTACCAGGTTGATCTTAGGCGATAGGAATTTCACATCCATTCGAGGAGGTGATTAGAGCGCAGGATGATGGTTGTGACCTGGGGTCTCTGGAAGCTTCCGGGTGCTGCCTGGTCCTTCTAGTAGCAGTAGCGGGTGGGTGATTCGGGAGTCCTCAGGTCGGTGTGGCCTTTTTTGTTGCGGTGCTGGGGACGGAAGCAGTGCCCTGCAGGCTGGGCCAGAGCCGCACCCCACCTCCCATCCACGTAAAGGGAAGAGAGGGCGGCCCCGGACCCCCAGCCCCCTTGCCCTCGGGGTTCAGAGCTGGGTGTCTGCGAATGGCCGGGGACGGGAGCCCCAGGGCCCCCCGCGCTGAGCCCTCGTCCGTCCCGGCTCCAGGTCATCATCGGGAGCATCTTCGAGGTCATCTGGGCCGTCATCAAACCCGGCACGTCGTTTGGAATCAGCGTGTTGCGAGCTCTCAGGTTACTACGGATTTTCAAAGTCACCAAGTAAGTCTGGGGGACCCCGGGGGCCTTCCTCCAGGGCGGGGCCAGGGTCTTGGCGGGCGCTGACCCCTCCCCGCCGTGCACTGGCAGGTACTGGGCGTCGCTCCGGAACCTGGTGGTCTCCCTGCTCAACTCCATGAAGTCCATCATCAGCCTGCTCTTCCTGCTCTTCCTCTTCATCGTCGTCTTCGCCCTCCTGGGAATGCAGCTCTTCGGCGGCCAGTGAGTGCCCAGCGTCCCCGGCAAGACCCTGGGGTCCCCCGCCGCAGGGCGCCCCGCCGCAGGGCGCTGCTGCCCTCTTGGCACCCCGACGCCCCCGGGCATCACCCAGGAGGTCGGGGCGGTGGGTACCGCCCGTCCTGGGGCGTGGCCTTGGAAACCAGATGCTGCCCGGGCATCCGGGGCTGTGGGTACCGCCCATCCCGGGGAGGGGGGGGTGTCGCCTTGGAAACCAGACTCTGACCGAACCCTCTGGTGGCCGGGTGGGGCTCACGGAAACTCGTGTCGTCCCCACAGGTTCAACTTCGATGAAGGGACGCCGCCCACCAACTTTGACACCTTTCCGGCAGCAATAATGACCGTGTTTCAGGTATGACCTGGGCGGGGCGGGGCGGGGCGACACCTCTTAGTGTCGGATTGGGGCACTTGGACGGCCTCCGAGGGGGTTCCCCGGGACCCCCAGGCCTTTCCCCGTGGATTCTTTCTCTGGGAGGGACGGCGAGTGTGTAGAGGGGATCCTTCCCTCTCCCTCAGAGGCAGCCTCTAAATGAGGCCCAGACAGGGTTTGGAGAGGGCTGTGCCCTGCTGGGAAGTGCTGAGCCCTGGCACGGGTTTCTTGGCACCGGGCACCCGCGGGTGTCTCTAGCTGAGGTCCCACCTGGGGGCCTGCAGTACAGTGCAGGGGGCGGACCGCAGGGCCAGGTCCTGCCTCCGAGCTGCACCTGGGCCCACATGGGTCCTCGACACCTGGCACCCCCACTCAGCACCGCGCACGGAGGGATCTAGGGGATGTTAAAGCTGATCTTGCGGGTTGCAGTGGCTACGCCCGTCATCCCAGCAGCTCAGGAGGCTGAGGCAGGAGGATTGAAAGTTCGATGCCAGGCTCAGCAGATTAGCGACACCCTGAGCGACTCAGCGGGACCCTGTCTCTATATGAAAAATAGAGAGAGGCTGGGATGTGGCTCCGGAGCTTAGCACCCCTAGGTTCAATGCCTGGTGTAAAAAATGTGTGGCCACGTCTGCTGAGCCGCAGAGCCTGGGCGGCGTCCATCTGTGTCTCCCAGTCCAGAGGCTGCGGGGCGTGGCCGGGGCGTGCTCCTGGCGAGGCTGTGACTTGCAGATGCCCCCCCACAGCTCCCACCACTCACTGTAGCTGAGCCCAGGTCCCTCTTTCTCCTCTTGCGAGGGCTCATGACCCCACCCGGCCCCAGTGACACCCCCCAGTTCCTTCTGCCAGCACCACACGGGGACAGGGGCTTCCACAGAGGAACCCGGACGGACACAGTTCAGCTGAGGCGAATCCCCTTCCCACGAGGGAAGACCCCGGTGGCCGGGCGTGTGGCCCCGCCAGGCTCCTCGGTCTCGAAGCCGCGCGTGGGCCCTGGCACTCTCGGAGCCACGGAGCTGGCCTGCCAGCCGGGCGGGACAGTGGCCTCGGGACTGTGGCCTGGGCCTGTCCCTAAGCTGTGTAGAGACAGGAGCTCTGCCCTCCGCCCTCCGGCTGCAG